TCCCCCCAACGACCTGCCTCCCTGTCCTGCTCTCGTGGTACCGCCTCCAAGGATCACTGTTGGCCCACGGGTCCTGAGGTACAGCTGGCAACGTGGATGCATTTGATGGAGGTCCGCCAGAGACTGTTGACCAATGATCAGTTCCGGATTCCTGTCCAACATTGACATCTACTTCATTAACCATGAGGACCGTGGTTGATGTGATTACTCCTGGGGGAATTTGATCGGCGGTATCCAAGTCTACAAACAGGTTCTGCGAAGTGTCACCAGCGGCAGCCCGTCTGGGGCATTTGGCGACCAGATGTTCTTCCGAACCACATTCGTGGCATTTCATCCTACGTCCATCCGGGCCTCTTGGATTGCCCTTTCTGCCCTTACCCTTGCCACTCCCTGCCCCTTTCTTTCCACCTTTTGCCCTAAAGGCAGGGAAAATTTCCATGAGCTGGGATTCATTGAGTTCGGACAAGTAAGATGAAGTATTGATGATCTTGCCTTTGGATTTTCCATGCTTTGTCTTACCACCTTTTCCACCTTTATTGATGGCTCTCCGGGCAAACCTACGAGCTTTTCGGGTCGGCTTGCCCATGAATGACCTCCAACGTGCCTTGGCACGGGAATAGGCCCAGTAGAGTTCGGCAGCCTGTTCGTTGGCCGTGGCACCCTCAGCAGCTGGCCAGGCTTCATCTCCATAGTCACTGCTGGTATCGGTGTCGGTGCCGCTGTCACCCTGACCCTCTGACAAATACACGTATGGATCATATTGCTGTGTATAAGTGGGGTATGCCTCGGATGACTGCCATTGGGATTGCCAAGAACCATGGTCATGCCATGAACTACTGGGTTGGTCATACTGAGATGTGGGAACGTTTTCATTCCATGTGTGATCGTCCTGAATATGGTAACTATGTGTTGGATGTTGTCTACCCCGCAACATATTGGACATATTTCCTGGTGCATTTTCAATGATCCTACCCATGCGTCGAATGGCACCTTTCAACTCCGTGAACTGCTGCTCATCGGCAGGGAGAGCACCACCGAGTGGCTGCAATAGTTGGATCAATTGAGAATCCGAGACACCAACTGCACGGATCAGCAACCAAGAAAGACCAGCATAGCTCAGGGCGAGCCCACCTGTCTCTGCCGCACGCATGCGGGTAGTATCAAACCTAGTCAGCAACGTGTCGATCCGTTCATTGGATTCCCTTCCAAATGACAACAGATCTCCTACTGCCCCTAGCCGGACTTCCTCACCTAGCCTGGCAAATCGGGTGCTGAGTTGATACATCAGAAACGTTAGTGGATCGGTTTGGGTACCATTTACGGTCCCCCCTGTCAGAATGGTCTGAGGCGGAAGTGTCCTGCTGAACTCCCTAGCTGATCCCTGCAACTGAGAAATCACACTAGCCGCCTTCCGAGATGCATCCCCATCTGTAGCAATGCTCCAAATTAAGATGTCTCTAGACCAAGTGCTGAAACTATACTGATGCTCCATTTCGGGGCTCCATGCGGGGGGCAATCTTGGATGGCTACTCCTACCTGGCACCATGCAAGCGACTAATGCACACGTGCTGAGGCCGCCTCCAGCGGCTAGCATTAGTGTCGAGTCCGAGAGCGATCTACCATCACGGCGACCAGCGGTCATCGAACCCGAGTTGTCATGGGCTTCAGGAGACTTCACCTTCCGATTGCCTGCTCTGGATCCGGTCATGCAACGGTTCCTGGATCTAATGGCTGCATCTTTCCCATAGACCAGCTCACAGAGTTCCTTGTGACGGGACTTTAGATGTTTCAGCTTAGAGTCGTACATGTTTAGCATTCTTTCAAGTACTGATCTCTGCTGCCGTCTAAGCCGCCTACGCAAAAGCTCTGCCCTACGCTGATCTCGAGGGTTCATTTTGAACTTCCTCCTTGAGTGGTGTAGCCGCACCAGGGTCGAATTCAGCTCCTGCCTCCACTGATCCCCATTCACCAGACTGGGCTTGTACTCGCCTTCGGGCCTGGCCTGTACTGGGGCTTTGCGACCATTGCTCGCTGCATACCAGTGTGTAGTGACACTGATCGAGCCTGCCCCAACCGCACTGGACTGGATCACAAGAGCGCTGGTATTGCGACTCTTGATCACCAGCCCAGTACTGGCTGAGACAGACCCCACCAGTGCCACTACTAACACGGCACACAACTTCAGCACGGCGGTGAACATGATGACAATCAATGGAGTAAGGATGAAAAGAAATGAAAACAGTCGAGTCGACCCTTAGGGTATAGCAGATACCTTAAATGGGGGTTACTGCCGGGGTTCCCGGCTCCGCTACCAACTCGAAAAATAGAGGAACTAAAGTGACAAAGAAGTACTGTTTCCGCAAATGTCTGTTTTCCTCTGTCCGCTTGTGACGAAGTCTTGTGTTTACCTAGGTCGAGCTCTAGAGCCAGAACAGTTACATGGATAACAATGAACCTGAGGCATGGTAGATCATGTACCTTTCAAGTAACATAAATAATTGCCAATAATACCAAGTATGTTGTGTGCAAAAATCATGCTAAGTCTTTTTTGCCCCCACAACTTCTGCACCCCCAAGTCCGGACCTAGAGTGGATCAGAAACATAAATCCTGGGATGTAAATCTTCAGTTTCTTTCTATTTTAGGTACCACATCAATTAAAATTCACATCAAACACGTATCTTTTTCAATATTTCAACCTATAGTTCATGACCTTGGGCTGAATAGTTGAATAGTTCGGCCACTTGGAAATAATATGAAATAATCACCAAATCCCAAGCATCTCCCCAACACAGTTGACGCCTCTGCCGCCGGCGGCTTGACATCCGGAGCTGCTGGCGCAGGCGCCGGTGTCGGCGCCGCAGGAGCAGCCGCTGCAGCAGCGGAAGCTGCTGGCGTCGGGGCAGGAGGCACCGCAGCCGCGCCAGCGGCCGGTGCCTGCATCCACCATTTTTTCTTTGAGGATACGGTTGCCTTGAGGAGTTGCAGTTGTTGATTATATCTTCATGTTGATCCTTTTGGAGGAGACGAATTACAAAATTCTAGTATGGGATGGTTTAGTCACCTGGCATAACCAAGTTTGCGCAACCTTCGGGGCATGAAAGGCCCATTCAATGGATTGCCTTGGGGCATCCTCAAGTTGGATGGTTCCAATGTCATCCAATGTCGACAGTTACTCAACAAGTGGACACGAATCTGCGGGTAAAATGGATTTCAAAACAGCAGTAGACTAACATATGATATGGGAAACTTATATGTTCATCTTTGTATCAATGCTGGATTTCCGCGTCAATCATCAATGCTAACCTTGACTTCTCCCCACCAAACCATCACGAAGCCTTGGCTTCTGCTTCGCTCTTGGATTCAGGGGACGCTTTAGCCTCCGCATCGGCCTTCTCATCCTGTGCAGCTGGGGGTTTCCGAAGGCAACGGATTCAGGGAAACGTCCTGTAGATCCTGTATAATATAAGCGCTGCATTAATGTAAGTCGTATCAATATATTAACCATGGTGACATACCAACAGCAGTCCTGCGGCGATTTGTTCTCTTCAGCCACCTTTGGCCTAAGAGTCACTGACCCTTTGGGACTTGCTGTGAAAGTAAGTGTTTGGTCTACTGAGTCTACTGGTATGTGAGTGAATATTGATAAAGAACAACGATATATAGCTCACGTGATGCACACAATCAAAATATTTATCCGCCGACCCCGGCCTTCGCCAAGGCCGGGGCGGCGCCTGGGACCACCGCAGGTATGGAACTTGTCCTGTCGGACCACTGCACATACGGAACTGGATAAAACCTTTCGTGGCCGCGCAATTCAAACCGTTCAAACCATCAAACCCTTCCAAACCCTCCAAACCTTTACCCTTAAACAGCTTCCCCAACAGGCACCCCAGGGCCAGGGCCACAGCAATGACTTTCTATGGGCTTTCAAAGCTGCCGTTTGCCAGCCCGCAAACGCTCCAAACCCCTCCAAAATTCCAAACACCTTCCCCAACAGGCACCCCAGGGCCAGCTCCAAACATTCCAAAACTTTCCAAACCCTCCAAACCCTCCAAACACCGTCCCCAGCAGGCACCCCAGGGCCAAGGCCACTTCCCGAACAGGCACCCCAGGGCCAAGGCCACAGCAATGGCTTTCTATGGGCTTTCAAAGCTGCCGTTTGCCAGCCCGCAAACGCTCCAAACCCTCCAAAACCCTCTAAACCCTCCAAACCCTCCAAAACCCTCCAAACCCTCCAAACACCCTCCAAAAACACCTTCCCCAGCAGGCACCCCAGGGCCAAGGCCACTTCCCCAACAGGCACCCCAGGGCCAAGGCCACAGCAATGGCTTTCTATGACTTTCAAAGCTGCCGTTTGCCCGCCCGCAAGCGCTCCAAACCTTCCAAAACCTTCCAAACCCTCCAAACCCTCTAAAACCTTCCAAACCCTCCAAACACCGTCCCCAGCAGGCACCCCAGGGCCAAGGCCACTTCCCGAACAGGCACCCCAGGGCCAAGGCCACAGCAATGGCTTTCTATGGGCTTTCAAAGCTGCCGTTTGCCAGCCCGCAAACGCTCCAAAACCCTCCAAACCCTCCAAAACCCTCCAAACCCTCCAAACAACCTCCAAAACCCTCCAAACCCTCCAAACCCTCCAAACCCTCCAAACCCTCCAAACCCTCCAAAACCGTCCAAACCCTCCAAACACCCTCCAAAACCGTCCAAACCCTCCAAACACCTTCCCCAGCAGGCACCCCAGGGCCAAGGCCACTTCCCCAACAGGCACCCCAGGCCAAGGCCACAGCAATGGCTTTCTATGGGCTTTCAAAGCTGCCGTTTGCCCGCCCGCAAACGCTCCAAACCTTCCAAAACCTTCCAAACCCTCCAAACCCTCCAAAACCTTCCAAACCCTCCAAACACCGTCCCCAGCAGGCACCCCAGGGCCAAGGCCACTTCCCGAACAGGCACCCCAGGGCCACACAGCAATCCTCCAAAACCGTCCAAACCCTCCAAACACCTTCCACAGCAGGCACCCCAGGGCCAAGGCCACTTCCCCAACAGGCACCCCAGGGCCAAGGCCACAGCAATGGCTTTCTATGGGCTTTCAAAGCTGCCGTTTGCCCGCCCGCAAACGCTCCAAACCTTCCAAAACCTTCCAAACCCTCCAAACCCTCCAAAACCTTCCAAACCCTCCAAACACCGTCCCCAGTCACAAAAGGACTAAAACATGGGGTTACAATGACAGTCCTAAAAACGGAGGGTCCTTGACACCCAAGGTATATATCAATCCATCCGTCTTTCTCCCTATGCCACTATCTATCTATCCAACAATCGATCTATCCATCTGTTTATCCAACTGTCTATCTACCTATCTGTCATCTATCTCTCTCTCTCTCTGTCCCTCTATCTATCCATCTGTCCAACAATCGATCTATCCACCTGTTTATCTAACTGCCTATCTACCTATCTATCTATCAATCTATCTCTCTCTCTCTATCCCTCTATCTATCCATCGATCTATCTCTCTCTCCCTCTATCTATATATCTATCTATCTATCTATCTATCCATCCATCTATCCATCCATCCATCCATCCATCCATCTATCTATCTATCTATCTATCCTTCTACCCATCTATCTATCCAACTACCCATCTGTCTGTCTGTCAATCTCTCTATCTATTCACATGTCTACCTGTCTGTCTGTCTGTCTATCTATCTATCTATCCATCCATCCATCCATCCATCCATCCACCCATCCATCTATCTATCTATCCCTCTCTCTCCCTCTCCCTCTCCCTCTCCCTCTCCCTCTCTGTCTCTCTCTCTCTCTCTCTCTCTCCCCACAGTGCCCCCCAAATAGAGGGGGGTCGGCGGCACCTGGGCGCTAGCCCATTCTATAAAGGACAACGATATATAGCTCACGTGATGCACACAATCAATAGACACAAAGTGAGCCCGGATTCCTGGAACGTTTCGCCAAGACACACCATGTGAAGATACCAAGGTGGCACCACCAGAAACAGCAAAAACACGATCCACCTCGGCCGCAGGTTTACGCAGGTTGAACCATGATCTTCTTGGAGGTAACCCATAATTTTTTGAATGATTGAATGACATTAGCAAAAAAAATGTGAACAAACATCTGTTGAACTTCTGGAACACCTAAACGAGGTGTTCAATCCAGCCCTGGAAAATCAACCATTGCTCACTAACTTGTCAGAGGCACATAACTCCGCTCAAGGCTTTGGCAGTTGCATCTTCAATACCTTGTCGGGAGGCAGGACTCTGCAAAGGGTGATGGGATGGATAGATATGTTGAGATATGCTGGACTCACTTGAACTCAATTCATGGAAACCTCTACCATTATCTACCATTACATACTCTTCCTGTCCTTGTCATGGCGAAACCGAGCAAAAAACAGAAGTTGACATTGTTCACAGCTTTGCAAATCTGACTCAACATGACTAAACCCCGATTAATCCAAACAACTTCAATCCATGAATCCATGACTGTCCCGAGCAATGGATCTTGGGGATGCATCCCAGCAAGCCCAGCAAGTTCTGTGATCATCATATTGAAATAAAAAATCCTCAACTATTAATATGCAATTAATATGGAATGTGGAATATTAATTAATGGAATATTGTAAGCTATATGGAATGTCCTCAACTATTATGATTAATTAATGCCTTCTGTAATTAACTATCTGTTACTAAATATCACAATACACTATGTTTTTGTAGGATGACGATACATAAATTGCTTGTAAACAACTTACAAACTACCTATACCATCCTATACCTATCTACCTACCGAACTGTGATGCACATCCAAATCAGCTGCCTGCGCGCCTGAAGTGACGCCTGAGACACTCACGGCATAGAAGGCCATCTCCTGGCGAGAAAAAAAACATTGGAACTGGTTGAATGGGGAGGAATTCTATACTGCAGTGTGTATGCGTTCTGTATACTGTATAACTAGGCAGTATCATAAATTTGTTCATAGTAATTCATGTCATAACTGCATATCAAATTATCAAATACTATCAAATACATAATAAATCATAATAATACATCTTATTCATTTATTCATTGTCATTTTATCATGGGCTGAGACCAAGCCGCATGGGCGCACCCAAGCGAAAGCCGTTTGGAGCGAGAAGACGTTGTCCAACTCCGTGAGACCTCGCGGGTGCACCGATTTTTCTCGGGGAATCCATGGGTTTTTTGTCCCGTTTCTATGGCTTCAAAGTTGGTAGAGAGAACCTCTATTTTAGCTGGTTGGTGGTATACCTACCTACCATTGTGGTTTTTCTATCCTGTTAATATATGGTTAATATATATGGTTATGATGATGGTTAATGATGGTTAATCATGTTATCTGGTTGGTGGTTGACCTACCCCTCTGAAAAATATGAAAGTCAGCTGGGACTATTGTTCCCAATATGATGGGAAAAATAAAAAATGTTCCAAACCACCAACCAGTTAGGGTCCTGAAATTCCCATTGGCCCATTGCAGAGCCAGCTCGTAGTAAATGTAGTAAATGTAATGGCCAGCACATTGCCATGGCTGGAGTAAGTGGTGTCAAGCCAAGCCATTTGTAACTGGGATACAGCATACATCAATATTGCTCTGATTTGGCGCAGGAAACCGGTGCAGCTGGGCAATTGTTGGCTTCCTATGCAACAGTCCATCTTCCCAAATGGCTATTGGTAAAACACCTGATACCATCATCCCCCTCAAAGCCATAGATATTGACCAATTCCCATATTATATGTTTTCCTACTTACCTGCCAAATCCTCACAGAAACAGCACTCTGCTGTGCTATCCAAGAAACTCAGAGTGCTTCTTCCCAGCTTTTGCGCTACCTGCGAACCGATTAATTTGTGGTTACTCAGGAACAGACCTGATGGATCAAAATTGAGGAAAACAAAAAAAAGGATGTATATCCATGTAAATCCCATATATTACCACCATCTATTGCTGGTAAAGGTCTCTTTAAGGAAGACATTTGGCTGTCAATCTTCCACCGTCTTCCAACATCCCACAGCCATGGGTTTCCGCACAAAGGTGGCCACCAACAATGTCAGCATGACCAGCCCAGAAAGCGTCACCTCACGGTGCAAACAATGTGGCCTAAGAAGTGGCTGTGTCTGGGTTGCGTGGTGATTTCAGCCCAGGAAAGATACAAGATAAAATTGAACATACAACATCATACAACTACGTATATGTATCTCTAGGTCAAGGGTCTCATAACATGTCTCAATAGATCAAGATCAACATAGATCAACAAAACATGAGACCTCAAACTCTACCATTTGAGGAGTTTATCTTGGTGGAGGACTCCTGTCGTTTGGCTCTCCCGCACTTGACGTTTGGCCCTACCTGCTGGGCACCCTCGCCGCAACACTCAAGGCGGTGCTGTACTTTCCAGCCTGCCCAATCGCAGGCAGCCGGGCACGATTCATGTGACATGAGGTTTGCTGGAAAGCGTCTGATTAGGTCCTGCAGGTCGTAAGAAAAGTCATCGGTAAGCCTTGGACTGGAATCTATGTCGCATCATCCGTTGACTGGGCATTATAGAAACACATTTACAATACTGAGATCTCTCCCATCCCAGCTTCTGCGTCGAGCCTCAACGGTGAGATCCACTGCATAGATGTGCCAAAAGAACCATTGCCTGATGACCCAAGAGCTACGCAAGAGATGGATGGGTGAAACAATGCTTCCCCTAAAATTGCATTCCCATTTTTGTTGGTGAAATCTAGTGATGAACCCCCACATGTGCAGGTGACATCTCCATTTGTCTGGGTAAACTCCCTTGTCACTGCAGTTCCCATCGATCCAAGGCACACAAAATAGAAAATCATCCAGGCCATGGTCATCGCGCAGGACTCTTTGCCGATCTTCAAGCTACCTGGATGTTGCACTACCGAGATTCAAATCCTGGAAGACCACCTAATGTTCATGTGCAGCCCGCAAAAGATCATGGATATGAATCAACAGATCAACATAACAAACCATGAAAAATCTAAATAGGATGCTCGTATCAACACACTCAACAAACGTCCATCAAGCCAGATCATATTCTCGAATACTACAACTCGAGGTGTCTCAACCCACTTGGAAGAAACAAACAAGTATTGGGGCAATCTGTCTCAAACGTGTGAGTGCCCATTCTGACGTGAAGCAAACAATGATTTGGAAAATGACTGGCTCGAAACTTGAGACAAACTACGTAATTAAGCTGCAGATGTGGGTGTCTTCTTCAGTACAATATGGGGTGCCCACAATCTTAGGAATGCAGTGCCATACGCAAGACAGCTTCTCTATGAAAAGTGTTGATTGTTGGGGAACTCCGGTTTTACGGCGACACCCACTGTTTAGCGCCCAGTGCCATGGCACGTTGAAACCACACTGACCGCTCTGCTGCGTTGACCTTCGCACCTGGGGTGAAAGCTTTGGTGCTCTGGTGGATTTCTTGGAAATTCACATGCTCATCCATCTCATTCAAAATTATAGCAGAATAATATAACTTAATATCACTGCTTTACCTGTTTTTTGATGATCTGGCTCTTGTGGTGGTCCAATTGTAACTTGGGCTGTGCAGGAATCAAGCCACACAGTCCATCTACTGTATGGTTTCATGCGCCAGATGCATTTTCACAAGGTACCAGGCAGGTACCAGGTATCGCAAGAAGGTCTTATTGGAGTCAAAGTACAGTTTTTTTTCCAGCGCAAAAAGTCTAAGCCTGTCATTGAATACAATCCGAGAGTGCGCTATGTTTCCAGCCAAAGCTTTGACAAAAATCATGATAAACCATGGGATTTGGGGGTTACTCATAGGCACTTAATAGGCACCCTATGTTCAAACAAACCCATGTTTTTCCGTGGGGGACGCAACCGATGGCTCGACTGAGTGCACGGCTCAGAAATGACCTCAGAGAAAAGCCAACCATTTTTGATTGCTGGAGAATATCATAGGTTTTAGTCCATACCCATTATGTTGGATGGATTATTGCATTATAATGACGTATGCGGGGTTTTGAATTGTCTGGACCCGGTCCCAATCTCCTTATGCTGCATGGAGTTCATTGCAGTGTTCTACGTGAACTGCGCAGGACAAGCAGCGCCCCGTCCTTTATTCCCATCAGGGCTGATTGGTCCGTTCAGCTCTACCTCTCTAACTATATTTCTTGGAATTGGTAAATGGCGTTTCTTCAGAAAAATAAACCAATAGACCCACTATTGGCCCTCAGCTGCCAGGCAAGTCAGGCAAGTTACGTCATGACGTAGAGTTTCATTGAGGTTCCAGTCACCTTTGCTCACCCAAAGGGTAAAGAAGTGACAGTGACACCCTGGGGCTTCTGCTTTCAACCTATAACTATAGGACAGAAACAATAAAATTAACAAGAAACAAAAACTAGAACTACGGAAGCAAATTACGATCCCACAAAAATGGGCTTGTACTGCAAACTCTTCCGAAAAAAAACAACTGGTTGGATTTCACTATTAAATCAAACCTGAATCCAAGCAGCCGCCATCATCCAGATCCTGAGCTATGAACATTGAGCAAATGGAAATTGAGGCAACTCTTGCTGCGCGGAAAGGAACATATTGGTATGTGTATTATACTGTCTGTATACTTAGACCCTTTATGCCGTGAGGTCATTGCAAGGTCGCTTTATAACTTGCCCATATAGCTCTCCATCATTACTATCCCATTACAGCCCCAACGTTGGATGAAGTCCCACTGCGCCAAGACCACCAAGACCACCAAGGCTCAAGTGTGTCAATCTGATGCCGCCCGCTTTTTTGCCTCGGCTCCATGGGTTTCTCCCAATCCAATGGGGAATACACCCCACAAATCTGCAATTTGAATTACTTGAGAAAATTACAGTATGATGATTATATGACACAAACCATGAAGTTTTGGTGTTTTCCCCAGTTTTTGTTGAGACATTTGTACATTAGCCACCTGACCCCGCATCCCCTGGGGACATTGACTGCCAGGCAAAGACCCGGTGATGGCGAAACGCACAAACCTTGAAGCACAAATCACTGGGAAAACTCGGACATTCGTATTAGATAATAGGGCCATGGCGGCCATGTTATAGGTCCATTTTTCACCACTATATAACTAAAATAATGGCCATATTATAGGTCCATAAGAATAGAAAATCTAAATAGGGCCATATTATCCCATCCCCTGCTCATATTAAACACCTTTCAGGAACCATGGTTTAGTAGGACATTTACACATATTTGGGACCGTTTAGGGGTGTTTAATAGGGGGATGGGTTTTATACATGTCATGGGGAATATGAAAGCAAAGTGATTTGGGATAACAACACACCTAAATGGAGATTTAACCGTTGAAGATTTGGATTTCACCAATAACACACATGATAAACTATGGGTATTAAAACATATTCAATCACTTAACATGCCTCAGGATTGAATGGTAGTTGAGTGGGGGACTGCAGCAACCCACTTGCTTCTTATTGTCAAAACAACGTGCAAATTGTTGGAGTGGTTTATTATTAAAACCACCTGCTTTGAGCTTTCACTGGCTTGCACGGATTTATGAACTGATATGTTAAACCCACAAGCCCTTCTTTGATGTTGTTGAACAAGAACAAGAACAAGAACAAGAACAACAACAACAACAACAAACACTAGGCAGGATGAAGACATTTGGTGTATTTTGGGATATTTTGGATTTTGCCATATCTGTCCACCTGATTCGCCAAGTCGCATGGAGATGAGGAAGCCAATGATGAAACCAGTGGCCTTCGTTCAGCTGGCTGTGGGGCATGAGGTGCTGATCATCTAGGTTTTGTGGCAGGTGGTTAATCTTCCATCGTGAAACATCCTCGGGACATGAAGCTATAACCAAGGAATAACACTGGTGCGTCTTTGGGCAAGTGCAATATGATCTGGCAATGACTTGGAATGACATATGTCATATGTTGACATGCAAACATCGCAAACATGTCTTTACACATGTCAAAAGAAGGATTCTATGCTTCATGTGAGTATCATAGGCTGGCGTATTCCAGTGGTTGTACACAACATATGCATTTGATGTGTAGGAACATGTGAGAGTTGTGTTTGTTGTTGTATCAGCTGTACAATTGGGACAGCGGTCGCGGTGCTTCCCCAAGACTGGATGGGTTTCAGAGGAAATGTCACCCCAGTTGTGGTGGATGTTGCAGCCAACTGTTGAGCCACAAATCCACTGAAACCAGTTCTTGACGTTGAATGTCGGCTGGGCTGGGGTGGAGCAACAAGTGCAAACAAGTAACAAGTAACACATATATATATTTATAATTATATATATACATGGGGCAAACATAAAAATCACCAAAATTGGGAATCTATGAGACTTCAGTACTAGAAATTACTAATGACCAATTTGGTGGGTCTATTGGTACCCCATTTTGGACCCATCGCCCAATAGCCATTTACACAACTGATACCACTGCAGGCTGATGCCTCGTGTTCCTGCCGCTCCTTGCTCTCATCATACTCTTGCCATGCGCCCCTGGCAAGTTTTGGGATGGTTGGTAAATGATGAAGGGACCAGGTAGGTGATACATCCCAATAATGGGCTACCACATATCAAACACAATTCATGAGGTCATTTCAGGTCGTTGGAAGTTGTCTGGACCTGGTTGATAGGGCCGCATATAGCTTCGGACATGCCAATCTGTGCTTTGAAGTGGATAGCCTGCCTCAATTTCTTGCAGGTGAACAGCAAACACAGAAGCCTCAGTGGCCATCGGTGAATTTTTGGTGAGTTGCACCCAAACGTGCGAGATCATTGAACCATTGCGGGTTCGGAAAAACACAAAACACTAGGATCTGAGTGGTTAAATTATCTTGGCGATACAACTACCACGTTTCTTTTCTTTATATAAGCTGTTGTGCCTCAAGAATGGAGAGCCTCAGAAATTCGATGACCCAAGATGCATGGGGATGTTGTCGGCGTCTCAAGTCTTGAACGCTAGCCACACAAAACAAGGTGGGTGCAACACCACCTGTGCGGTATCACTGCTGGTTTCTGGCACCCAGCGGCTTGACCCTGAGACAATTCTTAGCATTTTGACGGGCCAAACATCCCAATACCAACATGTCCATATTAGAGATAGCTATGGCAGTGATTTTCTAGAATTGTTCTTGTCAATCTCTAGAGATCACAACGAAAAACAACTCTAGTTGAACCTATCCCCCAGGTCGATCCAAGTCGCAGTAGAACCATGGAGATGACCTCAATGATCCATCCAGTTGAGACGTACTCAGAGACTCAGGGGGGGTCTATAGATTGTAAATTATCATCAAAAAAATGATTATATGAATATACTGCTTGTGGATAAGATTACTACTGTAGTTGCATCTAGTTGTGGATAATTGGATAGTTGTGGAAGGTCTTTGTTCTGGTCAAGAATCTTCACTGGTTGGTGGTTCAACCCTTTAAAAAAGTGTTAACAACATGTTTCAATGGAGGTTATCCGGTTTGTGGAGCTGGACTTAACAGCAAGACATCAAACCACGAACGAGTTCATCTCCACGTCCAATCGCAATCGCAGTTCGTTGTGTGCAGGGACTCCGTCGAAATGTGTCAAAGGGATGGTCTTCCAACATGGATGTTGCTTGCATACCAAAAAATATCCTCCCGCTGAATTAGTGCGCGCAAACGCTTACAGCGCAATTTTAGGTTCCAATCTCAAGACACGCGCCAGAACCATACGTTTCACCTCGTGGTGTTCATCTTCTTCATCTTATTTTTCTCCAGTTATAATCTATTTGTGCAAAAATATACACCCATAAAATGAGTTGAGTTGTCAACTCAAAATCGCCCCATGTTGCTCTCATTTGTTTGGCATCAGGTTACCATGGCCCCCCCCTGAGGCAATGCCACCAGGACACACCCAGCAAGTAGTACCCTGCATGGAGCGCGAAGGGATCTCTTCGCAGGACATCTGCAAAGGCGTCCGCGCCGGCGAAACCTCGAGGGGTTCGAGTGGCCTGTTGACCAAACCGTGGTTGGGGAATGTCGGGGAGCCCTTGGTTGGTCCAAAAAGGTCCAAAATGGCAATGTCAAACCAGGGAAAATGTATGAACATGTGGATGAATCCATGACCATTGCATGATAAACCTATGTTTGAGCGCCGGTGCAAAGCTTGCAAAACAATAAAGTAACATATGGGACAGTGAAGTACACTTCAGCCCGTCCAAGGTGATAACTCAGCCAAAAGAAATAGGAACCCAACCTCTGCAGGAATGTACCATCGGTTGCTCGGAAGGAATTGGCAACCAAGAAACCTATTAAGTGAGTGCCCAGAATTCGCAATGCAGCATTATCCCGCCACCGCAGAAGCGCTGGTACACCGAACCTCAAGTTGGTCTGGTTTGGAGGCACTTGGGTGATGTTGTGGTTATTCTATTTCATTTGGATCCTGAAACGCAGTTGTGAATCCTGGCTTGGAGGGTTGGAACCTTCAAATGGACAATGACTCCATCTATAATCAGGATCATGAATTGCTGAAACATATTTTGATTCGTGCATGGTGATCCCAGTCAAGGATGCAACATTATGAACACAGCGACGCTGACATATTTGGGGGTTGTACATCAAGGTATGAGTTTGATATGAATGTCTGATCAGCTGGGTATCCTTCAATGTCTCGTTCAATCTCATCCATGTGTTCAACAATACCAGATGATACGAGTACAACGTTGCAATATACTCACCGTGACGCTTCCCTTACCGGTATTGAGACTGATTAGCTGGGGAGTTTCATTTTTTTGACAAGATACCTTTCAGTGCTGCATGGTGATAGCCCCATGTCACTTAGTTGCAGTGGGTGAACCTTCCGTTGACCGTGCATCCTGACAACTACAACCTGTTCAGACAGCCCTCATGGTGGCTTTTGCGTCTCAGCCAGGAGTCAGGAGGATCAAGAATCTCACACAGCTGAAGATATCCGCATAGAGTCTACCTCAAATTTCCATATGAGCCGCTAACATGGTGTTCCCGTGGATCAGGTCTTTGGAATAGTGTTGAACTGTGTCAAATTGTTGCAAAACCTAGGTGGGTTTGCCCCCACTTTTGAGTCAAAAACTGTGCAAAAGAAATAAGACATATCAAGACAGGAAAACCTCCGTTGACTGTCTCTCAACAAAACTGCAATTTTCAATGACCATTTCATCTATATGATTGATTTTGTTCATTGTCAGCGTGGACTTCCAAAGGGCAACGAATGATGAATTTTGCCACTGGTTCAGGGTCCAGGGTGCTTCCCCGATATCCGAGTATAGCGGCAACCGGCGAACCGGGCCGTGAACCGGCAAACCGTGGCCGTACGGCTCCACGGTTCCACGGTTCCACGGTTCCACGGCTCAGCCGTGAGCCGTGCGGCCACGGCTGGGCTCCACGGTTCCACGGCTCAGCCGTGGAACCGTGCGGCCACGGCTGGGCTCCACGGTTCCACGGCTCAGCCGTGGAACCGTACGGCCACGGCTGGGCTCCACGGTTCCACGGCTGAGCCGCCACGCTGCGCTCCACGAATCCACGGCTCAGCCGTGGAACCGTGGAGCCTCGCCGTAGCCGTACGGTTCCACGGCTGGAGCCGTGGAACCGTGGAGCCCAGCCGTGGCCACACGGTTCCACGGCTGAGCCGTGGAACCGTGGAGCCCAGCCGCGGCCGCACGGTTCCACGGCTGAGCCGTGAAACCGTGGAGGCCAGCTGTGACCGTGCCTTCCGCAGTTCGTTAACTTCATATTTATTTAATAGTAGTACCGCACAAACGGTTGCGGAAGTTTTAAAAATAGGAAACTTATAAGAGATTGGTTGTTGTGAATCAGGGATGGCAGACCGAATCCACTGATGGACCGAAAGGTGCTTGAAGTCTTCTCTCTTTCTTTCTTTTTCTCTGACTACCTACCTACCTATCTACCTACCTATCTATCTTCAATGTATCTATTTATCTATCTATTGATGTATGTATCTTTCTCTCTGTCATCGAATTACCTATCTATCTATCTATCTATCTATCTCTATCTCTATCTCTATCTCTATCTCTATCTCTATTTCTTTCTCTATCGCTATCTCTATCTCTATGTCTATCTCTCTCTCTCCCTCTCTCTTTTTCATCTGTCTATCTGTCTAGCTGTCTATCTATCTATCTATCTATCTATCTATTTATCTATCTATCTATCTGTCTATCTGTGTAACTGTCTATCATGTAGTATAGTGAAGTGTACTTTAGTGTAGTGGAGTGTAATGGAGTGTAGCGAAGCGAACTGAAGCGACACCTGAACCTCCAAAAGTGGTGCGAACTCCTGGTGTTTTACACAGTTTGACTTCGAAATGTGCTTCGCGACACAACAGCGTGCACTTGTTCGACATCTGAACTTCCAAAGGCGGTTCGAACCCCGGGTGTTTTTAACATGTTGACGTGGAAATGTGCTTCTCGTTACAACGGCGTGCACTTTTTCGACATCGCAATTTCCAAAAGTGATGCGACCATGGTGTGTTTTGTACATTTTGACTTGGAAATGTGCTTCCCGCCATAGCGACGTGCACTTTTTCAACATCTCAACTTCCAAAAGCGGTCCGAGGCTGAGGAGTCTTGTACATTCTGACTTGGAAATCGACGCGTAGGGAAAAAGTCGCGAGATAGAGTGATACACGCACGACAGCCATGAGGACACGATAGCGCGAGAAAAAGGTGCGGTTACCACGCGCAAAAGCAATGTAAAGATAGATTTTGGATGTGCGGAGAAATGCCGCAACAAGTTTGCAAAAGCAAGTAATGATGCGTTTCGGAAACAAAGCAAGAAGGCACTTCTTTTTGGAGTATTTGGACCGAAAGCATGAAGCGCGTACATTGCAGCACAACATAGTCTCTACGAACACACACCGCGGTTGTTTGCAGCTTCGCCAATTGAAACTGCGTGCGGCCGCGTGGAAAGAATTACTACGAGGAATTTTGTCGCATTGCAGTGGAACAACACACTCACAAACCGTGTAATGAGATTGTGATCTCGCAAGTGGGAACTGATTTGCGCAGGACGCAAAAATGTACGATAAAACGTACCGGAGAAGAAAGGAACGGGGTTCAAATGTGGACAAAGAAGAAACGGTGCGCAGGTAAAAACATGAGAATTATGTTCGGGCTCGTCACAATGACTCTAATTATGTACAAGAGGACGAGCGGCCAAAAATACAATGCATTCTTTGCGCAAAGGTTTAACTAAGTATAGGTTCAAAATGTTTCAAATAGATGTATACATAATGAAACCTTAGGTATAAAGGGCATGCAAGTTCGGAATTGGTGTTAGAAGAGAAAAACATCTAGGTGTTTGTTATGAGGGAACATGTTTTGATGAAAGCCTTGAATCGGAAGCAGCCAGCACGCTTTGTTGACGCGAGCCGCCAGGCGAAGGTGTCCAAGGTGAGAAGCGACTGCAGAGAGCGGCGCGCTCAAGCAGCTCGAGTGCGAAGAAATCTAGTTTCGGAAGTTTCTTCGAAACTTCTTTTCTGCAGGAAGGCCGCACGTTGATGGTTCTTCCGATGCTGCTTTTGGATTGCGGCAGTTTCCAGGAACAGATTGCGGGCATGCTGCGGCAAGAGCACAAACAGCAAGCCACGTACAGGTGTCATTCGTCGCGCGGCCACAGCAATGCGTTTCAGAAATGCAAAGGATTGCTCTGCAGCGCTATCATTAAAGCGGCGGAATTGAGCATGCGTTTGGGGCCACACGGAGGGCAAAGGCGAGGTGCCATTGGGCCGACAACCAGAGTGGCCTTTCCGAAAATGAAATTTGTCAATGGCCAGCCTTAATTTTGACAGCGTGCGTGTGATTTTGTTGCGATTGCGACGCTTTTTCGCTGTGATAAATTTCTTCAGAGTGCACGCACAATCGTACCACACCAGAGGAAGATGTTCGTGCAAGAATTGAAGCCGCTCCTTTTTGGAAAGTTTCTTTAGCTCCTTTCCACGAGCGACACTGAAGGAATCCAGGAGTTCCGCTAAAAAGAAGTACACGCCAGTCGGCGACTCGTGTGTGCGTACACCAATTTAAGGGCTCCAATCACTTGGCACGGCTTCACAGCTGCCAGTAAGCCTCCGCTCCGTCTGGCTTTGGTCATCCGATCCCATTGTGCCCGGCAGCTCTTCGCCTGCTCTTTGTCGGTGAATGTTATTTGTTGGCCCGTGCGCGGTTTGACCTGGCACTCCCGCGATTCGGGATCAAGAAAGGAAGCACCAAACTGCTGTTGGAACCGTAAAGGAACGTGAGAGCTCAACAGCGAGAAGGAGTGTCCAGAAGCAGTCTGAAAGAAATACTTGCGCGAGCGGGACACTTTGATGACCTTGGGAAGATCCACAGGATAACTGCCGTGAGCATGCACCAAAGCAAACCGCAAAGCTTTGCATAATCGTCGGCAAACTGGGAGACAAGGCAACACACACTGAGCCTGGATTGTGAGCTGGGGCGCGGCAGGATGCAAAAAGGAAAGAACGCGCAACATCAGTGTATCGGAGCCCAGGACTGGATCAGAATCACGCAGATGAACGCAGCAATATTTCTTGCCGGGCATTGGCGGATTTTGGCAGCCGGTAAGGCAATGAGCTTTTAGAAGATTGCAATTCCAAATGCCATCGTCGGTGTTTGCACACAATTTTGTTCGCACCTTAGCATTGCCATCCACGACGAGGACGCCGGTAGAGCAAGCGCTGCATTCGTGCATGTGAAGCCAGCGTGTTTGAAAGAGGTTGGTGATTCGTGGCTCAAGGAGGCGACAGAGGGGCTCCATTCTATTGTTGGAAAGAGCCCAATCGATGCTTAAGCTTTCGTCGCCGAGGAACCGCGTCAAAGAATATTGCAGCCAGGTGTCTCGCAGCAATGTTTCAAAGTGCCGGGTTTTGGAAGCAAACTGGATTGAGTTGGCAATGCCGCGAAAGGAACCGCCGCAATTCACCAGAAGATTCGTCACTGTGTCGAGAAAGCTTGCCGCGAAAAGGATATTGGAGGACGTATGGAATGTAGTTGGGGATGCTGTTGATAAATACCGACTTTCTCGGCCACTGGCGGAAGTAGCTTCAATCCATGGGCCGCAATACTTTCGGTGGCACTGAGGACATATGTACGTGCACACTTTGACGAAAATTTGCCTTTCCAAAGTAGCGATGCAAGGCACAACTTTTTCACGCAGAGGTGCCAGCACACGTGAACACGCGACGCATGCAGATACTGGTGGACGCACGCAGCGAAAGGGAACGTACTCCGGGATGTGCAGTGTTGTGCTCAGCAAATGAGGTGCGTGGTTCTCCAGCTTTTGCAGGATGAAATCGCAGTCGGCTGAATCAAGCTGCATTCCAGGATAGGTTTCCCGCAGCATGGCGTGAGCCACCAAGCCTCGGCATTCAGTGTCTGCAAGGTGATTCGCGACAACGAAGACAGGGAGTAAGTCGGCAGAAGCAGGAAAGAGCAGGCGATCAAGTCTAGATGATGTAGAGCCGCCAGTAATTGTCGGGGTCCTGTCTTTAGTTTTCAGATTGAAAATTTTGGCTGCAGAGTCAAATGGGCTGGTGTCATGACAAAAATCATGCAACTTTTGAAGCACGGCATCCATTGACCCGGAATCGAGCAGAGGAGGCTCGGCTGCTTCGCAATCAATTTTGTAGGCTGTCTTGATGCTGTTTGTGATATTGAGGTGCTGCTGGTTATATTGCTCGCTGTTTGCGGCGAGTTTGTGGTTGAAAACTTTGAGCAAGTTGGAAAATGAGAGTGCCAGATTTTGTTCGACAGGAAAGCGTCTTTTCCTAACCCTGTGCCCGGAACCTTTTTGGATGTAAAAACCAAGTTGCGCATGGTGCAAAAGCGTAAACGCATTGATAACATGATTGCGAGCAACGTCCTTGGCAAGTATCTCGCCCGACTCTGTGTCATGGAGCTTTCGCAACAAAGCGTTTTGTTCAACTATAAGGGACGA